CCGCCCTTTTTTTTTTACTTTTTTTTTACTGGAAGAGCATCGTGTAATAAAAATCAAACCCACAAAAGTTGTATTTTGCGCTATCACTGGTGGTAGGGAGACTAGTGTACCCGCACAGGCAGGTACCACCACCCTGACCGTTTCCGCCGTAAAGTAGTAATGCGGTCCGGTTTGAAGGGTGTGACGGCTGTTAAACAATACAATTGAAGTTTTGGGTTTTGTGGTTAATATCAACAGTCACGTTGTGATGTCAATGTACTCCGATAACTATTGAATAGTACGTGAGTGGTGAAGTCCACTTATGTCAACCATCCGGCTTTGGAATGAGCTCCACGGTGTTTCCCGAGAACTATGACATATCCTTCTTCAAACGAGGCTTGTGGAGCTTACTTAACGGTAGGCACCGGCTTGGCTCGGCTCCTGGCATTGCTGAAGTCCATGGGCGACGGTAACCACTCACCGTCAGGTGGGCCGTATGCTAGTCTGCCTACAAGGGCAATAAAAATAAAAATAAACTTAACGGTTGGCAGCGGCTTGGCTCTGCCCCTGGTGTTGCTGAAGTCCATGGGCGACGGTAACCACTCACCATTAGGTGGGCCGTATGCTAGTCTGCCTACAAAAGCCAACCTGCAAAAGAAAATAATCACAAAAAAATATTCAACGTAGCATCGCGTTTACGCTCGTACCAATTTTCTTTTAAAACTCATTTTAAGTACCAACATATAAAATTGCGGTCTTTGAGCACGGCTTGCACGCTACCGCAGCTCAGAGTCACGCGCGCTTTTGCTGCATTTGTATTTAAAAGAATGCATCCGTGATTTTAACAATTCTATATTTAAATATCAAGTATGTAGAATTATTTTCATGTTTTCTACTAATCCCCACAAGGCTTAATGGATTATCGATTTTTTAATAGCCGTGGCTCATAAATATTTAATGGTCATAACATCACCATTGAATTTATAATATCTACATCGTTAGCTAAGTGCTTCCGTCGTACTTTTCATTTACCAAATTGAATTAGTGTATCTAGTTTTCATTCGTCGGCCAGTAAGTCAAGTGATTTGTTTTTCTTAAGTGGACAAGTGATTTCATCCCATGTTTTATTAACCGATTAAAAGTTGAATTTCATTACTAACTTAGAGATGCGAATCGAAGTTTTAACCGCACCCGTAAATGATGTACGTAGTTTGAAAACACACATTAAAAAAAACATGTTTAAACAGTAAACCGAATTTACGATTGATTTTATATTTTTTTATCCTATTGATACTAGCATATTCCTGTTTTGCGGCTATATAATACATATGTATATAATGCATATATTAGAGCGAAGTTGTAGAATAGATTGTATTGTTATCGGTCCTTGAGGCTTGGGTAAATTTTTAAATTAATCAGACGTGTTGGAAATGACGATGAATCAAAGAACAAACGTATATGACGAAATCGGACGGATGACTAGATCACAGCAGAGACAGACATAATATACTGGCAGGTGACATGCCCTGTACATATTAAGAAGTACTAGAGGTCCCGCAGTAGTCAAAATTCGAATATAATTAATTGGAATTGTAAGTTTGTACACTATTGTGATTGTATTTTATACGTCTATAATCACAAATTTCGCCAAGACTACACTATAAAAAATATTAACAAAGACAAACAATATTTTAATCTCAATTTGACAACAGACGTCAAGAAAAAAAGTTTGACAATAAGTAGTATGCATGCGTGTTGCGTCAAATACATGGTATGTAGTGTGTGTAATGTTTTCTTTATTGATTTAATGTATCTTTTACGCATTATTTAAAAAAAATATTAGCATTGTGCACTTCTTCTCTATATTCTCTATAAGTGTGGAAAATTTCATACTCCTACGTCCGCGCAATTTTCGTAAAAAGGGATACAAAATTTTTGCTTCACGTATTAATATATAGATTCTGCCTATTAAATTAAACTATGGTTTCTGAATTTTCAAATAACTGAGAAAGATTTTATGAGAACCAACGTCTCTTCGAGGAGACAGTCAACTGTCGTAATAGACGTACGACGTTACGTACGTAACGTTAATGATTAAATTAGGGGACGCAATTGAGGAGCGAGGCTTAGGAACAAAGATATAAATATAGAAAGAATATAAATATAAAAAAAACAAAGGAACAGAGAAAAAGGAACAAATATATATAAATATAAAAATATAGATCAGTGTTTAAATAATTGCCAGTAAAGCTACCAAATATTAGACACAGATAATTTTTGGGTTATTTAAGAGTCTTGGCGAGGAACTTTCCTACCAAACCTTTAAATTTACGTAGTGTTTTGTATTCCTCGTAAGAATTGGAATGAAGGAACCGTATTCTTTTTTATGAATAATATTGAGACCATCAAAATGTATATGGGACAGGTAACTAAATTCAATGGTCTATGCTTGTTCCATTTCGAGTTAATTAAAAACCTAACATTTCAGAAGGATTTTTAAAATTGTTTCCAAGTTTTGTATTCATAAACATAGCGTTTCACTCAAAAGCGGCAGTAACAATAAAAATTACGTAAAACGCAACAACAATAGCCACCTTAAAGCAGTAGAGTTAAGGTACAAATTAAAAATAGCTGGCAGGAGTTTAAGAGTGCTTTGTAGATTGTAGCGTTTTTGCTCAAGTGGCCGCCATTATGTCACAGTCGAGTTTTACCAAAAAAAAGTCTCGGCCACGAGATTTTTCCCTAGCTCTACATTATTTGGGGAAAACTCTTTTAAGTTGAACAGGATAGAAACTTGTTTATTTTGGATTCCTCGAGAAGATTTTTTTGTAAGTATTATTATAAATTGTGGTTAGTGTGATGACCCCCCCTATTTAAATCTCCTACCATATCTACATTACACGACTCCGCTATATTCGAGCTGCTACCACCACGTCCTCATCACTCTTGCGTAAAAACACTATCCCCACAGGTGGTAGGACGTTTTTTGAGTCTGCACGGGTAGGTACCACCACTCTGTCTATTTCTGCCGTGAAGCAGTAATGCGTTTCGGTTTGAAGGGTGGGGCAGCCGTTGTAACTATACTGAGATCTTAGAACTCGTATCTCAAGATGGGTGGCGCATTTACGTTGTTGATATCTATCAGCTCCAGTAACAATTTAACACCAGGTGGGCCATGAGCTCACCCACCAATATAAGCAATAAAACGATTGTTAGAGCATGTTGTAGTAACAGTTCCTAGCACATTTTTAATTCTTTTATTAATCATCATACCATCACCTACCTTGAGACATCACTTATTTCGTACAACGGCTCTTCCACGTTTCAAACCGGACTGCATAATTGTTTTACGCCAAAAATAAGCAGGTTGATGAGAAATTATATAAATCTGTCACGAGGCATTTTCTCAGATTCGTTCAATGAACTTGTATAACAATTATTCTAATTTAACTTCGATATAATGTGTAAAGTTACTGGCGAAATGTGTTGAGTGAACTCATGAACGTTTATCTCCATATTGACTGAACTAATATGAATAGGTTTGTATTTAGATAAGTTTATGCAAAATGTTCACTCTCAGGTACGTCTAACTTTCTTTAGTGAAACCTTGTATATTATGTATGGTCTCATCGTATCTGCAAACTAGGTTACGGGTTAAAGTTTTTAGTTTTTACAATAAAAATGTTTGATACAACTGAAATACTGGTGGTAGGACCTCTTGTGTGTCGAAGCAGTAACGCGTTTCGATTTGAACAGTGGGCCGTCCGTTGTAAATATACTGAGACCTCAGAACTAATATCCCAGTAGGGTGGCGCATTTACGTTGTAGATATCTTTGGGCACCAGTAACCACTCAACATCAGGTGGACTGTGAGATCGTCCGCCCATTTAAGCATTAAAAAAAATCAAATAAAAACATAAATAATTATATAACAAAATCGAAACCGTGGTGGTCTTCAAATCTCAAAAAATGTTTTAATTATTTTTATTTATTACTATCTGACCCGGCAGACTTCGTAGTGCCTCAATCGATAAATAAAAGACCTAAACTTTTGTACAAAATAAACTTAAAACAAACAAAAGGAATCCGTCCGACGGGGGACACTTCAAAGGAAAAACAAAACTGTTATTTTTATTTAATTCCGAGTATTTTCATATTTATTTACCTTTTAAAGCTTCTCTGGACTTCCACAAATAATTCAAGACCAAAATTAGTCAAATTGGTCCAGCCGTTCTCGAGTTTTAGCGAGACAAACGAACAGCCATTCATTTTTATATATATATAGATTACGACATCTAGTATGTATTTATTTTATTATATTTAAGAGTTCAAAATAACACAAGAACAATATTTTTTAAATTTTTATTTAAACATAATTTAAACAAACGGGGTCTTACATAAAAAATTAAATAAACTTAAACGAGTTATAGTTACAATATTTTAATAACAAATGTGACTATAAACACAATTAGATCTTTGGTGCAATGGAGTTAGTAGGATATATTAATATTGCACATTCGGATACACTTAAAGCACACAAATCTAATTATTGCTTATAATATGATGTTTTATTATAACTAATTTATTAATTCCGAACATGGAAATTATTACTACTGCTTGATTAACACCACAGCGCGCTTTGATTATTAAATTTTGATTTAATTATTATATATTATAATATGAATAAACATTTACTAACTATAAGTATAGAGTAATGTCATACACACGACGTAAAACAGTAAATGATCAACAGTGAATATCATATAATATAACACACAACGACGATTAAACGCGATTAAAATTACTTAAATTCTATATTGATATGCACGATTTTAGGTCAACGGTGCAGGACTAAGACGTAAATGCGCACCGTCGCCTCGATATGTTTCTTATTGGTTCATTGGGTAATTACCAATTTTAATTTACATTTAAAAAACACGTGTGGCACTCGGGAACTGCCGCGGTAAAGCTATTGCATAGCATTTTTTATCAAGTTATAAAATCGAAATAATAATAAATAAGACCACGCTATTTTTATAATCATTAACAAAAGCGAAACATTAACTGTCCCCTTCACACTCCTAAGCTAGACCGCGCGAGAGAGAGATGGGCAGACTTTTCATCGTGCGCATGCAGTGCGGCGACGTCCGCCGCGCGCTTATTCACAAAAACTTCACAAGCGCAACGTGTGAATGTGTTGAACGCAAGCTACATGGTAGGCTGAGTGGGGGTGTTAGGTATTATTTTCGTTACGGGATATCTTGACTCGGTCGCCGTGCTCAAAGCCCGAGATAAAAGCTATGCAATAGCAATAATAATAGATTCCAATTTAATCATATTTGAAACGCTCTAATTAATAGTTTATATTAAAAGGTGCTCGAATAATTAGTCTTCGCATCTGATTCTATATTTGCAACGTAATTTATAAATAACCAATATTAAATTAACTTTTTCTTACCTATGCCATTCAATATGGGTTTTATGTAGATATTTTCTTACTTAGGACTGAGTTTGCAATCCCGAATAGTAAGATGTATAATCTTAACTTGCGTCAGATAAATGAAAGCTAGGGCCGAAATAGAATAATATATAAGAATAATATCTAGAATATTATGATATAAGATAAGATTTCAAATACGTTATAGGAGTCCCAAATATTATTGATTTTCGAAAAAACGTTCTAGAATAAGATATATATTCCAGTAATTTGTATAGCAATTAGTATGTATATCCTTGAATATTAATTTACTTCATTAATAATAATTATGAAAGTGCATTAAAATTTAAAGAATTCAAGTGCACGAAGTGAGTATATATTTTAGAATTTTGATCATTTATAATATAAACATTTTAAATACATTTATTTTGAAATGTAATAACGAATGTAAATTGAATATATTAATTCAATCTCGCGTCTACAAACATTCTACATTTCAATTATAATAATTACCAATCAATCGTCAAAATGTAAATTTTAAAAATACTCTAATTGTTTACCAATTTTTCAACATTCATATATAATAATAATCTTACATCGTATTTCTTATAATGTATGCTATGAGGCTAAAGGATATGTTTTAGGTTACAATTTATCACTTATTCATTTAAAAATCGAATGAAGTTTGAAAAAGCAATTTTATGCTCAGTTGCTAGCAGTTCTGTGCACTAGAAAGCAAGCTAAAAATTAGTTAACATTTACAACATTAATTGATAAAGCAAAGAAATTATATAAGCTAGTTTAAAGTCACATTTATTATTCTAAAATCGAAATAAGAACAAATATTGAAAGAAGTTGAGAGAAAGGCTTAATTAAAACTAAAGCTTCATGCACTTAATAAACTAAACTCTAAAATAACTAAAATCTCTTTGGAATTGCAAATAAATTAAAATAACAATAACTTATACAAGAATAAAACGTACATAAAGTTTACTAACTTGTTAATACTAGGTTTATTATAACATTTATGAATTTCTATAATATTGAATAATCAAGGTTATGTAACTTTAGGATAAACTGTATATATTATTAATTTGATAGTACAAGAATTATAGAGCGTCTTTCGACTTTATATTGGGTTTTGATATACGTAAATCCATTAGCGATCGACAGCAAATTGAATATAGCCGAAAGTCGAACTATGAATCTCATATTCAGGGATTTTTGCACTCTCAATGCTTTCAGCATAATTTTTAACACACATAAATTTCTTTTAAGAAATTGTTCGCCAACTTACGAGAGTCTAAATGGCCATTGTCTGTGAAAGGATTAATCCTATCCACACGACGAACCATTGATTTAATCTTCTAATAAAAACTAAAAGTATTGAGTGTGCAAACGAAAGTACAACATTATCAAACGGGTTATATTATATTTTAATGGCTATTATATATTCCATATAAATATACATAAATATTTAGATGCGTAGATTCATGAAACAATTAATAACGTATTATAATATGAAACAGTCAACATGGTAAATACTCGTAGGCTTACTAATACAATTGAATACATTATACAACGCGGGGTAAACGATAACAAAATATACAAGGATTCTTCTTAGATCTAAAGGGAATTAAGAGTTCAAAATAAAAGGTAAGTAGCTTTGATTGTCGTGATGGTTTTATTCATTTTGGAGAACACAGTTCTATTAATACTATGAATTATCCGAAATTCCAATTCATTAATTAGTTTACTGATGCTGGGTGGTAGATTAATTGAATTCCCAAAAGTTTCCGTTTCAAGCATATCGGTAACATTACCTTAGTAAGGCCAAAACCATTAGCTAATATATTTTACGGTAAAACTAGCTTACCTGACGTTCTATATCGGAAACGTCACTTATCAAGCTACCGTTCCAAAAATGTAAGGCTAATTTTCTTTAAATTTTCAGCCCAAATTTGATATGTATCGTAGTTTATAACATAAATTCATCACGTTTTTTTTCTCCTTTAAATTTGAAATGTAATAAATAGTACGAAACACATGAGGGACACGTCGGTCCATCCGGCCACAGCTGACCCGACGTTGTTCCCACACCGAAATAAATAGGACGAACTTAAAATTAGAAATAGTTTTGAGTAATCAAATCTATAGCAATGCAATCGTGACTATACAGATCATGGTGGCCCGGAATTTTTTGAGTGTATCCGCGCCCGATGTTCGGCCGTAGGTGGGTTTTCTTTTGCAGCTCATCTTTTCGAGCGGCATTTTAGAGACGCTGTATTCGCGATGCTCGTTGAGCATGGTACATACTGTCCGTTTCTTCTGCATCATCTCATCGTCGCGGTCGCGGAGTCCGGCCAACCAAGCTTCGTACCAAGCCAGCTCACAGTCACAGATCAGAGGATTATCTGTTCGAAGACAAATCAATTGGTGTTCTTGAAATATTTTTTATTTCTTCTCACGGCCCACCTGGTGTTAAGTGGTTACCGGAGCACATAGGCATCTACAACGTAAATGCGGCCACCCATATTGAGGTATGAGTTCTAAGACGGCTGCCCCACCCTTCAAATCGAAACGCATTACTACTTCAAGGCAGAAATAGGCAGAGTGGTGGTACCTACCTTTGCGGACTCACAAGAGGCCCTACAAAATAAAGCCGCTGCGTTTTCAAACGAAGTATTAATTTTTTTCCCCTCTAGGTACATAAACGTGAGGTCTTAACTTGTATTAGACTATTCCACTCTTCGGAGCGGGACGCACGGCTAGTTACTGGTAGAAATGGGCAGGATGGTGGTAACCACCAGTGAGGGCTAGCACTATTGTTTTATACATATGACATTCTTAAAGCACCTCCTTAAGCTATGGTACCTACATACATCTCAGTTTTATCCCGATCCTACCCATTTCTACCCTGAGGAAAATTATTGTTACTGTCTTGATGCGAGTGGAATAATTGTCCGGTATCTGTGTGGCTAACTATTTAGCCCTAATTAAATAAAAAATAAGTCAACTAATCACAATATACTTCATAATATATACCCGTAATAGGATACTAAAAAAGGCTTATTTGATCATTGGGGCGTTGAAATGAACTTTGGTCATACAAAGTTAGCTTTCTAAAGTGCGCAAAAATGACAACGGTAATTATGGTAATAATGTCGTAAATCATTTTTTGAAAAAGATAAGTGTGCGTTATCCCAACATCGTACATGGACTTCAAAAATATATATTTCCTTTAATATAAATTGAAGAAACGTAGTCAACATTCATTTAAAAAGATCATAATATGTTGTAAGAACGATTTACAAAAAGGAGAGAAGCTGATTGACTGTTACGTACCCATTATATCCACGACTCGTAATGTATCGAGTATCGGCTCCATTATTTCCTCAGGAATATGCTGTAGTTTATTGTTTTGCAGGTTTAGTGTTTCCAGGGAGTTCAGATTATCGAAGCCCATTGTTGGCAGCTGATGAATCCTGATTAGAAATTACCCCTTATCAATGGATACGGTCATGCATTATGTGAGTATGAATCCCCTTTTTTCCGACATCCAACAAAACAAAGCTGTTTACTAGATCTTCAAATGTTATTGTAACAAAAAGAATGGTCTTTACGAACAAAAGCAAAATTCCGCATTGTTAAACTGTTGTTACAAACAAGCCATACAACGAACATTTCAAGTTTAGAGAACAAAAGACTGTTTTTATGTGTGAAATGTATGCGGAAGTGTAAACCTTAGGTATTTTGTTGCTCAGTATATAATGTACACCCCTTTTGTGTATGTAAGGAATGATTACGGAAACAATTCGTTTCTGGTCAATCAAGACGAAATTCGTTGTCTTGAGGGACTCAAACGTTGCGCTCCCCAGAAATTAATCAAAGCTTCATACTGACGGGTTCCTCGTTGACTTTGAAATATTTATTAGTCGTAAACCGGCAAAGCTTCTCGCACAGAATATGTACCCAAAATGTTGAACAATAACTTGTTGTCGAGGTTTATTTTCGTATTTAGACGAGCTGGATCATATTATTTTTGTCCGTATTTTTAATTCCCGTTTTACCCTAAAGGCCTAGAGAACGGACGGCCGGAATAAAATTATTACCTCGTTTCAAGGATAATTTTACGACAGGGTGTAATTTGTATCTTTTAAGAGCAAAATTAATTACTTGGAACAAACGTTAGCCTAAATCGGTTGATTAGTCTTGTAATCGTGATTTATCGGTACATTATACAATTAGGGTATCAATTTTTTTTTGTTCACAAAAGTATTTTAATTGATTTTAAATTACAAAGATTCTCGATTCTTCGAATGTTCATGATGATTTCTTTGATTACAGTTAAAAGTAACATGATATTCAGGTCTGATTGCATGAACAACAGTCTCTTTTTTATTTGATACTTACATATTCTTTTGCATGTTGAGGAACGTGATGGAGTCTCCGTAGCCAGTGAAGGCATCTTCACTGATGTATGTTATGTTGTTGGATCGAAGGTCCAGATGGCGGAGACGATGCAGAGGACGCAGTGCTTCAGAGGGGATCTCATGTAGGCGGTTGTCGCCAAGACGTAAGTATTGCAGATTTTCTGGACAAAACGTAGGGCATACGTAGATTTCCATATAATTTCCAAAAGCATTAGGCAACCGGAAAAGAAGTTTTAAGTAGTGTAAATGATCGATACAATTTCACGACTGGTCAGGTTTTATTCGAGCCTTTTAGACATCAATGCTAATTTCGTTATCTACTTTGAATTCTAAAGTTGAAGATTTCTTAGTTTGAACTAATAACTATCCTATCTTTTAAAATAAAATATTGTGGTAGAAAGCCTCAAGCGGTTTTGTGTCAGAAATAATCCGGTTGATCTTATATCCCTTGGTTCTACTACCCTGCTTACTTCTTACTACGAGTTCTTATTTAAAGGGCCAGACTGTCGTTATGAAATAGGAACTTCGATCTCATGTCTCCAGAACTAATCTCTTCACATTGAAATGTCTATGATCTCTGGTAAATAATATGTATTTACCAGGAGTACGATGTCTAGCGTCGGAGAGGAGTCATCTAGTTGTTAACAGCAATAAAATAATCGGTAGGTCGAACAATGAATATTAAGTCTGCCCATTTTTTGACTAATTATTCCCAGTCTTCCTCCGGAAATTCCAAGCTACACATTGGTAGAAAACAACACCGGACTGCAAGGAATGCCGTCTCTTGGCATTAAAGGACAAGATCCAATTTGGGTAGTTGCGCCAAGGCAGTAATTTAGTACTCATTCTATTTTGTAGTCAAAGCCATTTTGATTTTTTGATATATGTACATATCTACTACTTCAGTCCAGATAAAATATCGCTATGGTTGTAGCATTTTAAACTAAATCTACACCTTGCATAGTACTAAATTAGAAACCCCAATACAAAATTATTAAGACCCTCTCTAATCTCAATTTGAAATGAGCCTTGTACTCTTTCATTGGCCTTAACGAATAGTTGAAAAGCTCGTATCATGTTTGATGTTGCGCCTGAAGTGGTAATCTTTTTAAGGCTAATATTGAATTAAGCGAAGCTTGTAAATAAATTTCGTCAATCTAATCATACATTTAAGAATATCTTTCCAAAATAACCTTCTTTCTGAGCTTCCAATGTTGACACTTAAATTTTTTATTAAAATGTCTGGTTCGTGAATTGACCCCAGACTAGATTTTTTTTTTGTAACCTACAATATTGTTTGATGTTATTATTATGTTATTTTTATCATGTCAAACAAGGTGATGTACAGCATCCTTATTTTATAATCAGCGCCAAGAAAGTACTAAAATTTCTTTTTTTAACCAGTATTTCAATTAGGCTCACCTTCAAGTCCAGCAAAGGCCTTCTCGTCAATACGTTGAATCAGGTTTCCCTCCAACTCCAGTGAGTTCAAAAACGTAAGGTGCGAAAACACTTGAGCCGGAACTTCGCGAAGCTGGTTATGAGCTAGGCCTAAAGAATCTAGGTTACGTAACCCTGTAAAATTATGTTTTTATCAAAATTGGCTTAAGAACCAGCGGCCAATTTATGTAGATACATTTAAAGTATGTTTATTTCACTTTGTTTTAGGCTGTAGCGTGCAACATTTGGTTGCACTCGGGCGTCATCGGTCGCGATCGGAGTTCCCGAACGCGCAGGTGTCCCGTGACGTCATGCTACGAGATTCGCGCGCGTCGATTTAAGTTTATTGTAAAAACGTAATTTTAGTTTCAATTCGTATCTGGTAGTGCCTAGCGTTGCTTACTCTTTTTAGTTATACACATTGTACACATTATATATATTGTTGAATTGATGTGTTTGACTTTTATATCATCATCATCATTTCAGCCTATCGCCGTCCACTGCTGAACATAGGCCTCTCCAATAGATTTCCAGTGCGACCGGTCCATTGCCACCTGCATCCAACGAGACCCAGCGCTTTTTACTAGGTCGTCGGTCCATCTAGTAGGTGGCCGTCCCACACTGCGCTTGCCAGTATGTGGTCGCCACTCCAGGATCTTTCTGCCCCATCGACCGTCCTCTCTTCGTGCTATGTGGCCGGCCCATTGAATTAGTGACTTTTATATGATCAGAGTAAAATATCCCGCGAAAGCGAAGGACAAATAACAAACCACAAGGCCATAAACGATGGTGTGAGATCTTACTTCAAAAGCTAGATCCTAATTGACTACCACAGATTATGTATTTCAAATTGTACTAGCATAATTTAAAAGTAAATTAAATTTACGTAGAGAATATTATACTGATACTTTGCATAATACTTTTTTTTTGAAAAATACATGGCTGCCTTCCAAAAGAAAAATCTTATTACCTGCAAAGTCCCCTTCTGAAATAGAAGTAATCCGATTTTCTTGCATTTCAAGTTTTTTCAAATTCTCGAGAAGAGCCAGCGCTTTTTGCGGGACCGCCGTCAATTCATTGCCTCCAAGATTTAATCGCTTAAGCTTCCTAAATAAATTAAGCACACCAATTAATATTAAATGAGGACCTCTTTTAAAAGCATTTTTTAATATTGCTTTTCTAGAATGTTCTCATTTTATTTAATCCGAACGCAATCTCAATAGGTATTATTTTTCTCAATAAATTATAAAGGAACGTTCTAACTTTAGTAAATAGCCTACACATAAATTTTAATGAACATAAAATAGCTAAGCGGTAACGGAATGGATTCCGGAGCAAAACGGTGATTTACATGAACAATGCGTGTGTAATTTATTCTGGAAGTTTCCGGTGTGCTACCAACAATAATTCCTGAAGCGATTGAGCAAAGTCGCTGCCATTAGGCACAATATGCAATATTAAAAGTATAATTGGATACTTTCAGATATTGCTATTAAAATTATCTATTTTTCTTTATCTTATCCGAGTTTGCTGTATTTAAATAATTTGAAGTTTAGATTTATGAAAATTTATGTTAAGTTGATTCAAGATGTTACTTGGGAATAACGACAGAGATATTGGGTTTCATATGTACTGTTGTGTTTTTTGCTGAAAATAAGAATTGGTGACTAAGAGCACACGTTTGTGTACAAATTTTATTAAAATATGCTGTTGTACTCCTATTACTGACGATTCGTATCTACCGAATATGAAGCACTGATGTAGCGAAGTAAATCACTGTTTATTTTATTCGAAGAAAAAAAATATATAGTTCAGCTTAATATTTTGCAAATGATCAGTGGTACTAATCACGATCTTTCCACTGATTGTTTGTGATGGTGATTTAGAAATTTCCAAAATCATTAATTGACAGAAATTTTCCGAATAGTTCCAAAAACATCTTTAGGGTTATATGGGTACTTACTTTTCCAATCCTTTGAAAGCCTCGCCATCGACTACCGAAATCCTATTTTCATACAGAGTCAGTATCTCTAGGGTATCAAGTCCGACGAATGCTCTGTTGTGTACCGCGGTCACCTGTATTCAAAAATACCTTTATTTATACCTTTTCCGATCAAAAAAGTTTCAAACCACTGAATACCAAAAACTCTACAGCGAATATACCTAAGATCTCTACAGGTAATCGCCAAAACTTTTGTTTTTAATTTTCAAAGTAATTTTATTATAAATTAAATTAAATGAAATAAATAAATTCGCGGATCATTTCCCAATTAAATATAAATTAATCTCAAGCAATCAATCAAATGTAATCAAATCTTAGTTTTTTTTTTTTGTTGTTAATGCACTGTCGATTGCACCTATAATTGAGGTGACATCTGCCATGAACTTTTGTCAATTTGTCAATGTTTTGTATTGATGATCACTTTGTTGGTGCAACTTAATAAATAAATAAATAAATATGAATTGTTCATAAAAATAAAGGTTGTGTAATTAACAAAATTGTAATGTTAAGTAAATATATAAACTATGTTCACGTTGAGAATAAATTGTAAATCCAATGTTGTGTTTTATTCGAAAGCTAATTTTAAGTTTACAGAAAAGCCGCAATACCGCTATCGTGTAGTAAATGATAAAATTATTGATTTAATACATTCTCGTGATTTAAACCGATATTGCTATTAAACTTTAAAGAGATCGTCCGCTTGAGTGCTTCCATAAAGTATAATTTTATGAAATTAATCCATTAGCTTACGAACAACTTTGATATGAAACTCTAAGGTGTATCATAGTTTATTTTTCAACAAAAGTCTGTTATGGCTAATCTGTTTTTATTTATTACATTAGCAGTAGTATTTTGGAATGTCTAACGGTGTCAATTTTTAGAAGCAATTAATCGTTCCAAAAGGTAGTCTTTAAATTAATTGAATGCAATTCTATCTTGTAATGAGGGACCCTTTACATTTTTTTCTTATTTATTATGTATAACTTCAGACCTCAGGAACTTTAGGCTAAAATTATATTATATCTAATTCTTGAAAATATAAATTGGAATAAAAGGTTGGAATAACTTTGTTGTGAATATAAATATAAAAATCAAAAGTAAACTCAAAGTAAAACAGAAGGTATAGAGTTCGCTGATACTGTGTGTGATCTTGGTAATTAGGTCAGAGTTACAAAATTTATTGTATTGTCATCAAATTTAATTTTCAAAAGATGAATTTGACGATAGTAACCTCTCGATGTTGGTGAAAATTACGTAAAATATTACATTCTATAGAAATAGGTCAAGCCAAAAGGATTTGAGGGAGTTCGTATAGAGTCCCTTCTTTATTTCGCCGTAAAGTCGTGTTTTATATAATTAACACCACAGTTGAAACAATATAAATTTTATTGTTGTAGCGGCATAAACAATTCTAAGTAATTATATTACATTAGTTATTAAACACATTATAAATTATTTTTTACGTTTTAAATTTTCGGCGGTAAAAAGGTCTCGTGTCACAGACTATATTCTTTCTTCCACCTCTCGTGCGTTCCCTCTTACGCATCATAAAAAGGTGCGTTCTTAAACGCCACAGATTGTTAAAAACACGACACATTTTCCGTGGAGAATTTATAGTGAATGATGACATTCTAAGCAAATTAATGAAACTGTATCTGTATGCTATATCAAAACAACAGTTTTTTGTTAAATGCATAAGAAAGCATAACCGGTGTTCATAACAAAAATAAATTAGTATTATCAGTCTATTTGTTTCTTCTGGATAATCTCCGAAGTGGCTGGACTGATGCTAATGGCGCATAGCATTACTGGCTGATAGCGAAAGTTGTTACGATTAACCTACACCGATTTTATTTCAGAAAAGATTTATTAACCCAAAAAAAACAATTAATTGTCAATAGAACCTGATTTGAATAGAGAAGTTATCAATATGTTAGTTATTAAGCCGACGAATGTTGGTACAATACAATATGTGATAGCCTCGTTGATCTACTGATTAGTGATACTGACTACGGTACCATTGGGTTCGAATCCCAATCGATGACAATAACAAATATTTCGTATTAAGTTCTGTATGGAATTTGCTAACAGCGTACCGCCTATCTGATAGTGAGTGATTACCGTCGCTTACGGACATAAGCAATACCAGGGGCATAGACAAGCCGCTGCTTATCATGTATATACCTACTTATTCTTTTCTTATAAGAAAATAAATTTAGCTAAATGAATGTGGTGTGTATGTTTGGTGATGATTTTTTCCCCTACCTATTTGCAGGTAGCCTAATGGGCTATTCCAGCTATGTCCGGACGGGTAGGTGAGCTCACTGACTCAACTTACAGAATTTGCTAACACTAGCCCTAGCAAGAGCAGTGTTTTGCTGAATCTACCACCGGATCGGAACCGCGACCGATCTGAGAAGATCCGGCGAGAAATTCAGTGGGTTAACTGTTTCAATAGATACTAATAGTTATAGCAATTAATTTAATTGAAAGGCCCGTCTGGAACCCTATTTAAAAAAACAATAACAGCATTCCCATTATCGTTTATCTTGTGTATTATAATCGTTATTTACCTTGTTATGATTCATGTTCAGTATGAGCAGGTGATTGAGATGTGTGAACGAAGATGTCGGTATTGTGGCCAGACTATTCTGGGAGACGTCCAGCTGAGTCAGCTTGTTGCCTGAAACAAATTATTAATGAATCGATAGCTAGAACTAAGCTTTATTGTGCTTGAGTGCTACGCGAGTTCACGGCTCAGCTTATCCGGGTGGTTATCTGAGCCTATGGGCATCACAACGTGATTATTGCAACCTACCTCAACAAGAGTTTGAATATCGATTATACCTTATAATTTTACTAGTTTTAGGATATTTTTTTAAATGAAATTCCTTATGGCGCACAATACACATAATTAATAATAAAATAGTGAAATATATAATATATAATTTTATCGCTATTATTCCCGCAATTTAATTACAATATAAAGCTTTATTCACATTTTATGATTCGATTAATTTGCTGATAAATTTACAATATGGTGGTATTTACGCGCCCATAGTGATCATTACAGCTAGATTACAATCTCAGAGCTCAAAACAAGTATGTTACAGCAGCATCAGCAGCAAAAACTAGCGATGTTATTTTTAAACAAAGCGAAACCGAGCTATTAATATTGGGAAAGCCAATTCAATACGGAAATACAATAAAGAGGTCAAGAAAGCTTCGAAGCTTCTTCGTTCAAAACCATTTCAACATCAAAGGTTAAAGGTTTTTTGTCTATTATTTAGACTTTTGATTGATCATTGATCATTAAAATATGTGTCACATGTGAATCCTATTAATATTATAAATGTGAAAATTTGTAAAAATATATGGAGTATGTTTTTCACGTAAAGCTGTTGAATGGATTTAGTTGAAACTTTACAACAACATAGCTTACACATCAGTGTGAATTACCCAAAATATAACCATAAGTGTCAAGTAAGTAGAAAAAAAAATTGCCATCTGCGAACTATTTGCCGCATCTAGTAATTAAAGTATAGGTACAAGCTTTGTCTTTTACATTAACATCATTTGGAAAAATATTTGAAAGCAACCGAGTGCGCGATATCAGGAAAGATGAAGATAGAAAATTCAATAAGATCAATAATAAATTAAAGTTCCCGAAGCGAAGCGCGGGCGGGTATCTAGTATTTTAATATAAGATCGATCTGAGTCAATTGATCGCAAAAATACTGTCTAGACGAGAGACCGCAAAAAAATCCGAAATATTTGTGACCCGACTTAATCTTATGAAAAAAAATTGTTGGTACGGTTTGTAGGCTGGGTAACATTATTATGTGAATGAACGATAAAAACATTATTAGACTCGGAGTCCTTTGTGAATTCTGAAACATACCTCATAAATGGATAAACATCAGGGTGTTATTTATGACAGCATTTTGATACCAGATCACGCGGGAATTTCGCACTATCGCGTAGCCATTTGTGAAACAATCGTATTTTGGATATTTACGAGATAATAATACGTGCGGCACTAGAATTTTGATTAAAAATATTTTGAAAACGCTTAATAAACAAATCTTATTATATCGGTTCAAGTTGACAAAATCATCAAAATGTACACCTCTGGTATCGATACATACATTATATTAATGCAGTAGTGATTTTTCAAGGCCCTGCTTGAAGATATTAATTTACACTAAAATATACTATTAAACTAAAAGTCAAAAATTAATTAAACGAAAAAAAAAAACGGAGTAAATTGTATTTTGAGTAATCTATATCTATACTTACTAATATATAAATCTACAGTAGTTTTTATGGATGTTCCGTTATAACTACTGAACCATGCATCCGATTGACTTGAAACTTGGTATTCATGTAGAAAATACATGTACTTAATGGATAGGCTAATATTTATATCACTGTTGTACTCCCTAATAATAATGACAATAAATAATAATGTTAATTTTAAATGCCCAGCGAAGCGGACGAGTATGGCTAGTATTTTATTTATCCAACTATATTTGGATGTGTAAATTCGGGGTGATTTCAGTCAGAATTAAAACATGATCAGATTCTAGGCTTACCGATGGAGCTTAGTGAAGAATCCTCGATGACCGCTAGGCTGCTGTTGTGAACAGTCAGATGACGTATATCGAGCCCCAGGAATATGTAAGAGGGCAACTTAGCCAGATTGTTGTGACGTAGCTTCAGATAAAATATAATCATTGGCTTCGAACGCAGCGTGTTCATTGCCTGAGAATTATTAACAAATTAGTTTTGTAATTTGGTTTATTTTGTGATTTTCATATAGCTTACTGGTGGTAGGACCTCTTGTGAGTTCGCGCGGGTGGGTACCACCACCCTGCCTATTTCTGCCGTGAAGCAGTAATGCGTTTCGGTTCGAAGAGTGGGGCAGCCGTTGTAACTATACTTGAGACCTTAGAACTTATATCTCAAGGTGGGTGGCGCATTTACGTTCTAGATGTCTATGGGCTCCAGTAACCGCTTAACACCAGGTGGGCTGTGTGCAAGCTCGTACGCTTTAATTTTTTGACGTTACAATTTGAAATGGTAAAACTGAAGTCCTATAATTTTGAATGTTAGCAACATCTGATAATTTGGATAGATCAAATGTGGTAGGTTAATTTAAAGGTACACACATATATGTGACTAACTTAACGTTAAGTAGACTTGTGTTTGGTGAGTACATCAAGATCTATTTATTACATTTGTTATGTCCTTCAAGTTTAATCAATTTAGATAGTAAAGTTTGTCTGGAAACAAAACAGTAAAGGCACGTCTAGATCGAACCAAAAATTAATATAATCTAGTATTCTGGGAAAACATCCGTTTAAATATATATATAAATGAATTACTGTTGGTTAGTATCGTTAAAAGTTGGACCGATTGGGCTAATTTTGGTCTTGAATATTTTGTGGAAGTCCAGAGAAGGTTTATAAGGTAGATAAATATGAAAATGCTCGGAATTAAACAAAAATAACAATTTTGTTTTCCCTTTGATGTGTCCCCAGTCGGACGGATTTCTTTTTGTTTTTTTTTTTAAGTTCATTTTATACAAAAGTTTAGGTCTTTTATTTATGGATTGAGGCACTACGAAGTCTGCCGGGTCAGCTAGTTAAGTGATAAATAAATTACTTTTTGTATATGTTGCTGTTCAGTGAACTCGCAGAGTATATCCAAGCCGTTTTTCTTGACCGTGCAGCTGCAAGGTGTCATGGTGTTCGGAGCGGGGCACTGCTGGGCGCCTTGTGGGTGTACTGGCCGCGCGTATAGCACCACCAAGCATAATAACAACCAGCGAGGCCACATATTTGATAATCTGTTGAGAAAAAAAGACTAATTTATTTTTTAATGCGTGGTAGGACCTCTTGTGAGTCCGCACGGGTAGGTACCACTGCCCTGCCTATTCCTGCCGTGAAGCAGTAATGCGTTTCGGTTTGAAGGGTGGGGCAGCCGTTGTAACTATACTTGAGACCTTAGAACTTATATCTCAAGGTGGGTGGCGCATTTACGTCGTAAATGTCTATCCGTACCTACCCGTGCGGACTCACAAGAGGTCCTATCACCGCTAATTACGCAAATTATAATTTGGCGGGTTTGATTTTCTTTACACGATGTTATTCCTTAACCGTAGAAGTCAATCGTGAACATTTGTTCAGTACATCTTTCATTAGAAAAATTGGTACTCGCCTGAGATTCGAAGACCGGTGCATCGCTCAACACGAATGCACCGGACGTCTTATCCTTTAGGCCACGACGACTTCTGCAACTGAAGTCAATGTCGCACAAGTGAACGAAATATTGACTGAATGAGGCTTCATTCAAGCTTGAGAGAGATACGTAGCTGAACTTTTTGTGTCTCAATAGTCGATACCAAAAGATATCATTTTTCTCAAAAACTTAATCGCAGAGGATATAATACTACGAGTAGAATGAATCAATCACTACACAAAATTCACGAAACGCATTGTTACTATTGACGAAACGTGGGCTTACGAGTTTGACATGCCAACTAGTCAACATGCTTTGGGACAGCGACTTCCAACTGAACCGAAATGGAAAAACCACGCCAAAGTCGACCAAAAATCAAAGTCATGTTGACTATTTTCTTTGACTATAGCGGTGTTGTGCATTCAAAATTTTTGTCGAAAGTTCGAATGGTAAATAAAGAACATTATTTGAGCGTTTTGCGGCGTTTAATAGAGCAAATTCGATGAATAAGGCTAGATTTTTGGAAAGAAAATCCATGGATTTTGCTGATGCAAAATAAAATAAAATGATTTTTAATGCGTCTTCGCACAAGGTCATCGTTGTCTGCGAATTTTTTACCAAAAACTCGACAAATGGCAGCGCGTAACCAACATATTCACCAAATATGGCTCTAGCCGACTTTTTCGTTTTCCTAAACTCAGATTATCACTTCGTGACACCCGTTTTCATTCGCTCGAAGGCATACAGGAGAATTGGCGCCAAATACTGAACTCAATTCCGGAAAAAGCGTTTAAGAAATGGTTGATGATTAGATTTTATTTTTGACGTAAGTATTTTTGTCGTATCATTTCTCAAGAAGTATACTCTGAAGCTGTTTAAATAAATTTGGATGCATGTATTATTGGTCGTTTCCCGGCACTTTCTTGACAGAGTAGTAAATATTACTAAATATTGACGATTAATATATTATTTAGTCTTTAACGACCACGAAGACTATGAAAAATGAAAAAAGCATTACAAAAATAAGGACACTATTAATCCGCCAAGTAAGTTGTTTTAATTATACCAGATATTACGATTATGTCGTATCGATACATTAAATAGATATAAATATTTCACATCCATTTTGAATCCCTATTGCCATAAAATATCTGTCATTTACCAATAAAATACTCACTTAACTTCGTTGTAAATATTTACCTTTAGTAAATTTTGCTATTGGGAAATCATTCTAAGGAAACATTTCGTAATAAAACATCAACGTTTTCAATCGTTCCTTTTACTTAACGGCTAGTGGTGAGGACATGTCGATGATTCTCGATTGCTCTTTCATAATATCGATGTCGATACCAGCTATCTCTATGTAACCAACGTTAGATGCTAGCAACTAATTCACGTCTAAATTTTAGTTGCTCCAAAACTAGCGGATACAATGAGCGTAGCCGATTTGACTAATGACAAGCCAGATTACATCGATGCTTGCTATACACTGTAGTGTCCGATTAAATTTGTAGGCAGATAAGAATCTTCTTAAGCTTTCAAGTGACCCGCGATGTAAATTTTTCATTGCGTATTTTTTAATAGCGTTAGGTCGGTAAACAGTCCATAGTGAAACTTAAGTTTTATTTATTTATTTATTGTTTAGATGGGTAGATGAGCTCACAGTCCACCTGGTGTTAAGTGGTTACGGGAGACATCTACAATGTACATGCGTCACCCACCTTGAGATATAAGTTCCAAGTTCTCAGCATAGTCACAACGGCTGCCCCACCCTTCAAACCGAAACGCATTACTGCTTCACGGCAGAAATAGGCGGGGTGGTGGAACCTACCCGTGCGGACTCACAAGAGGTCCTACCACCAGTAATTACGCAAATTATAATTTTGCGGGTTTGATTTTTATTACACGATTGGTTACCGGAATCCATACAGATCATAACGTAAGTGCCACCGTTGGTTCGCAACACAAATATTTTACCTACCAGTTATGCCGCAAATTTATTTATTTAGAGAGTTAAATTTTGATCACACGATATATGGCTATAGCGGCAGTGTCATGGCCCGCATGGGTTTCACCACCATTAAAATAGCCGTGAAGTTCAGGCAGTAAGTAATAGGCAGGTAGGCAGAGTAGGCAGTAGTTTAGTAATCCGTACATGGGTTCCCCAGCCTAAAAAAAAGATGGATTTGGTGTTGAAATGTCAATGACTTCATCGTAGTACTTCAGACAAAACCAGAAAAACAAAAAAAACGGACCAGAAGATTAATGTTTCCGTACATTTCTATTGAACAATATAAAAGTCTTATTTCTGTAACGCCGACTAGAATATTCTATTGCTGAATGTACGGACGTCGAATACTAATCTCAGGACCTTTAGTAAACTTCTCTGACTTATAATGGTAATATTAGATACTGTTGTGATAAAAGCGCTCTATTGTGGGGCATTTTACGAGAAAGCTAATAATTTCATTCAGTACATAATCTTATATCTTTAAACGAGCAATTCTTGTATATAAATATATACATATGTATATATAATCTGAATCTCGGAAACGGCTCCAACGATTTTCATAAAATTTAGTTTACAGGAGATTTAGGGGGCGATAAATCGATCTAGCTACGATTTATTTTCAGAAAATGTTGTTTTATTCGTGTTTTCAATAATCAACTTTAACGATTATTTGTATTATTTCTGTAAATAACCAGTTCATATTTTTTTATTATTCTGTTGGTAAGATCGAAAAATATTATTCATATTTCATCATTTTATCAATATGTAATTCGTATTTAAATATAATTTCTAAAAAACACAACTTATCAAAAACAAAGTACTGAGCAAAGTTCGGTCATTATATAGTTCTTGAATTATTAGGGTAAGACTTTTTTGAGAAAATTCGGTAGTTTAGAGGATTCGGCGGCACAGTAGTTTGCGCCCCTGATAACCGGGGCGAGGGTATACGTTTTCCACATTGGGCAATCATTTATGTGTCGACCAGGTTTGTTTGCTCTTTGCCTGATTATTTAATATTTATTTATGTATATATTTAAATTAAGTATCTCTGGTTCCTATAATACAGCGAATCTTAGATTGAGACCAAGTTACCGTGTGTGATTTTTTCTACTGTTTAGTGTATTATCTGAAGTAGCAGCATTGAATGCAGATACACTTGTAGTTATTACTGGATCTTTGCGAACGAAATTCAGGATGTACGAACACAATCTATATATATAAAAATGAATTTCTGTTCGTTAGTCGCGCTAAAACTCGAGAACGGCTGGACCAATCTGGCTAATTTTGGTCTTAAATTATTTGTGGAAGTCCAGAGAAGGTTTAAAAGGTAGATAAATATGAAAATGCTCGCAATTTAATAAGAATAACAATTTTCGTCGGACGGATTCCTTTTGTTTGTTTTAAGTTTATTTTATACAAAAGTTTAGGTATTTTATTTATCGATTGAGGCACTACGTAGTCTGTCGGGTCAGCTAGTGTGTAATAAAAATCAAACTCGTGAATATCAATATAATTGCCGGTAATAGGGAAAGTTTTGAACCTGCACATTAAGGTATCACTACTTTGTTATCTGCCGAAAAACCATTATTCATTGCGATTTAATGCGTCAGACAGTCGATATATAGGTATAATAAATACAATATAGACTGTGATGTCAGGTCTAAAAATGGATGGCGAAATTCTTATTGTGATATCTATGGATTCTCGTGGCCACCTAACACCAGTAAACTCATAGGTATTACTTGAAAAATATTAACTTTCATTTCATAGAATATGTATTAGTTCCGAAATCCACTTTTATAATTTTTTTCAGTCAGCATTTAGCTGACAACATTTTTCACAGATGAAATCCAAAAAGTTAATAAGGTGATCAATGTCAGTCACGAACATGGACGAATTATTAAGAATTTGAATCATACATAATGAAGGAATAATCACTGTTATGACGTATTTTTTAATTTTCGAAATTTTTATCTTACAACGCAACACAATATTGTGAGAACGATACTGTCACATGAGATCATGGTGCCTGTGGCTCANACATTTTTCACAGATGAAATCCAAAAAGTTAATAAGGTGATCAATGTCAGTCACGAACATGGACGAATTATTAAGAATTTGAATCATACATAATGAAGGAATAATCACTGTTATGACGTATTTTTTAATTTTCGAAATTTTTATCTTACAACGCAACACAATATTGTGAGAACGATACTGTCACATGAGATCATGGTGCCTGTGGCTCAGATAGCCAAATTTATAAACGACCCTCTGTTTAGAAATAATATGCAGAACAAGCGTAGATTTGTTAATTAAACTGCCTTGTTCCATATTTTCAGAAAAACACGATGTATCTCAACGCATTGACGTCATAACTATTTATATGAATACTCACTTATATGTAACGTGCGTCAGGTTGGCTGGCTATGGTATCGAGACGTGGGGAGCGCCGCTGTCATGGGGCACTAGGTCATGTTCACGACAGACCCCGATCCACCCTGTAGAGGATTAGCTTATGTTAATATGTTGTGGACACGGAACATAATTTAAGCGGTGCTAAATAACCCTCGAAAGAAGTGGACGCGATGAGAATTATTCTTTTGGAGATATTTTTACGGTGGAAAAACGTTTTATTGTTTGTAGCTGAGTATTTTTCTGGATTATGTTGATTTATTTGGAGCTGTTTTATGTGACTTTATTTAGAGCAGTGCATAAATATCTTTACGAAACCTATAACGATTATGATAAAAAATAGTGATCCATCAATAAAAATTATCGTTACTAAAGCTATATGGTCATTCTGTATTAAATATTAAACCAAACGTAATATCTGTCTGGGTAGTAAATTGGTGCTCCATTTCAATTATTTTATATCAAAATTTATACCATTTATATTTATATTACTATTTATATTATTACTTTGTAATATCCATGCCTTTCCTACAAATCCTTTTTCCTATGAATGCATCGTAATTTATCGGTTTGGATAAAAAATTATATACATTTTATAGTTTCGAGGCTAAAGATGGGCAACATTAGACTTTAGTTCGGAGAGGTTTTGTGGTTATTTGAAAGTTCAGAGTAAATAAGACGCGTCTAACGTTTACTTAGGACAATGTGTACAAAGTACGGAGCGACTTTAATTCTATTTATTCAAACACTTACGTGCCTTGCTTACTTGTCGCAATTCCGAGCCATTAACGAATTAAAAGGTAAAGGTATTTTAAATTTATTACCTTTGCTGGCTTTGAATAGCTTTGTTTTAAAAAGTTTTGAAATACAATTTCTTTGCTAAATTTCAATTATATTTGGGACAAGCCAAAGTCTCGTAGATCATATTGATATCCATGATTCTTTTCCCCTTCCTATTCGCTGATAGTCTAAAGGGTTATTCCGGTTACGCGCGGACAGCTAGGTGAGCTCACGGGCTCAACCTGAGAGAATTGACTAACACTAGCCCTAGCAAGAGCAGTGCTTCAAGAATCTACGTCCATATCGGAATCACGACTCACTTCGAAGGTCCGGTGAGAAACTCAGTGGGAAATCTCTGAGTATCCAGAAGATGAGCCTAAATTTTTTCTGTCAAATTTGAGTAATAAAGTTTCAAGAAATTATTCTAAATATAAAATAATACGAGAATTGATAATTAAATTAATTACCGAAAGTGCTATCTGATTCGATTGTCATAATGTCTAATGACAATATGTTCTAGTTATAATAATAATCTAGTAATTTATTGGGAAACGTTTTTAAGATATCTTGCTATTTAATGGGACTGAATCAAGGAATTTACTGTTGGTAGGACGTCTTGCGAGTCCGCATGGATAGGTACCACCGCCCTGCCTATTTCTGCCGTGAAGTAGTAATGCGTTTTGGGTTTCAAGGATGGAGCAGTCATTTCACTGTAAAAACTAAGAACTTGGAACTATATCTCAAGGTAGGTGGCGGTATTTACGTTGTTGATGTCTATGGGCTCCGGTAACCGCTTCGCNAAGGAATTTACTGTTGGTAGGACGTCTTGCGAGTCCGCATGGATAGGTACCACCGCCCTGCCTATTTCTGCCGTGAAGTAGTAATGCGTTTTGGGTTTCAAGGATGGAGCAGTCATTTCACTGTAAAAACTAAGAACTTGGAACTATATCTCAAGGTAGGTGGCGGTATTTACGTTGTTGATGTCTATGGGCTCCGGTAACCGCTTCGCATCCGCTGGGCCGTAAGCTCGTTCACCAATCCAAGCATGCCAAAAAAATTGTATGAATCACTATTATTCATTAGAAATCGTATATATCTATCACTATATCTCCTTTGCCTATGTCAGGTATTAAAAACGTATTACATAGTATAGAAACAATATATTTGTACTAGTTGTTTAGCTTATAGCGTACATTACAGATACGTTCGAAAATTTTAAGCACTTTATTTGATATTACGGTTATCGAGAGAAAACCCGATTCAATTCGAAGAGCACTTGAATATTTGGAACTACTGCTCAATTGGGAATTTAAATTTAAGAGAGTAATGAATATTTGAAGAGCATATCCAGTGTGGCCTTTAACTTTCCGAAGTGCTTAGAGCTAGTAAGCAAATGAGCTTTGAAAGTTCAAATTGTTTAAAATAAATCAAACTATTAACAAATTTTGATTAAAATTCCGAGTGACGTCTCCGTTTTTAAGTACATTTAGTGTCTTCTTTGAAACTAAAATATTGAATTTAGATCAATATTCTATTTTGTGTTAGTGAAGACGAAAACCATTTTTTGTATTCATATTAATTAAATCGTTTCGAACACCTACAGTTTGTCCTGCTCGTTTTTATTGCGAATGAAAGAGATGTACATTTTTTTTTTCTTTGTAGAAGAACCCTGTTACTTTATCGTCCAAATCAAAAAGGTTTCGATCGAACATTTTCGTTGAAATTATGTCAGAATCGGCGCGAGTTTAAATAAAGAGTACGTGGGTGGCGGTCTGGGGCCTGACACGAATATATGCATCGTGTGAACAATAACGTGGCGCTTTTATGACGTCGTACAAATGTGAATGCCAATAAATATTTACGAGGTAAATCTTTCCTGAATTTGTATTGTGTTTCAACATTTTGGCGAGGTTATTATTTATCAAGTATTTGTTTGAAATTAACACAACATAATATATGTATAGACAAGTTCATAGAAGGTTTTTAATAAGAAAGAAACCTATTAGTAAGAGAGGATTGATTTTTACGTTTGAATGGAGTGTGATATTCTTTGACATTATTCATTTATTTTCAATCATATCTATCTACATAATTTAAATGATATTGAACATACAATTAGACACTAATGAGATATTTACTAACGAAAGTAGCTCATAAATACATTATACTTATATGACCATATATTTTATATACCTAAATATTTTTTGTAAAGCCATATTTATTTTAAACAATTAGTAACTTAACTACACATACACACAATTTTCCAAAATTTAAATTTAGATATTGTTTTGGTAAATTACTTTTAAATCATTTTGCATACCTACTTATTAGTTGAAGTATTGAGTTACACGGATTTCTGTGACTGGTTCTCTTTGATTCGCAATGGTAGGGCATAAATTCATCTGCTAACATTTACGGTAATTATTTTAAGCAAAATTTTGTAAATGTTTTAATGTCAGTTTTAGACAGTGTTATTTGAATTTTACTACAACGTCACTTCACATATTCAACTTCTTCACTCACACGAGGAAACGGGCGTTCGATTACGTAACACTGCCCTTAAAACAAATTTTCACCAGGAAACCATCCATTATATTTCACGAGCGAATTCACGCACGGTAATGATCACTTAAAAGTAACTGTGGGAATATAAATTATTGTTTCCATTTAAATATAGAACTTGTGCGCAGAACGAAATCCGTCCGTCCTGGCCCCTTGATTCGATCATATTCTATTAAAGTTTGATGGGCTATCTCCGCTCAAGAGTCATTGTGCGAGGGAGTGCTCCAGCGATTTGTTGGCCGGTTCACGTGTACGACTCTAAACGCGCATAACTCAAAGAACATGGTCGGTGAACTCAAATGACTTTATAACGTAAAACGTGCGAATAATCTGATCTACGGATATTTTAATCTACGATTGTGTAATTGTACAAAAAATTGTGATATCTATCTATATATATATATATATATATATATATATATATATATATATATATATATATGTCGTGGATAACGACTTTTAGTTGTCGTGGATAACGACTTTTAGTAATATTAAGACGGTGGTTTTGATTATTATTTTTAATGATGAGATGTTGTTTTGATAAATATCACAAAATGAAGGGTAGACTACGTAACGCCACAGTATAAAATGGCGGTACGTGGACAGAGTGGTGGCATTCCGTGTCAGACAGTCATTCCGTCCGTCTCAGTCAGTCGGTCTGTCGGTATGTGCAACGAAACTGTCGGTTTATCCTGTCATTGTGAAAGTTGTGTGTGTTGAGTTTCAATAATTGTTATTCAAAAAGTTTTATTAACTAAACTGAGTTCAATCGAATACGAGTGATGACGAAACTACCGCTCAGCCATCCCTGACGTGCTCCGACATATATATATAAATGAATTGCTGTTCGTTAGTCTCGCTAAAACTCGAGAATGGCTGGACCGATTTGGCTAATTTTGGTTTTGAATGATTTGTGGAAGTCCAGAGTAGGTTTAAAAGGTAGATAAATATGAGAATGCTCGGAATTGAATAAAAATAACAATTTTGTTTGTCCTTTGATGTGTCCCCCATCGGATGGATTCCTTTTGTCTTTTATTTATCGATTGAGGCACTAAGAAGTCTGCTGGGTCAACTAGTCGTGTATAAAAATCAAATCCATATCAACAAAGATAACAACAGATTTTTCTGTGAATTGTCTCAGAGATCTCAAAGTGATTTGAATGTCGTTACCAACATCAAATGCGTTTTTTTCTGCAAAATACTATAATATGTGCGTAGTTGTATTACTAGTATTAACAACTAGAGTCTTCATTTGATTTATTAGAGCAAGGAAGTTCTCTTTGAGTTCAATTTAATGGCGCAACAATAAAAATAAGGTGAAGGCCGTGACACGAAAAATGCCTAAAGTAACAAGCGGAAGTTGTTTTATTGTATTCGAAGACGTATGATGGTGATGGTGGTGAACGGTCACCGTCACTTATGGGCATCAGCATGTCAGAAGCGCAGCCAAGCCACTGTTTATCGCACAGAATACCTTTTAAACCTTATTTTAAGAAAAGAAAAAAAAATATATTTGTGGAACCACTATGAAGAGAAAAGTTCATTTTCTAGATGGTACTGGTCAAAATTGATATCTGAAATAAAATAATCTCTATCGTATTTAAGCGATACAGATCATCTATTAGTTCCTATTAAACTATACGCAAGTTTTACTATGTCTTCTTACATTTGGTTACAAGCTGTTACTGATACTAAATCTGTTAAGACTCGACCACATCACTACTCATGAAAATATTATAGTGAAGCACCTTGATGTGTACAAATGTGGTCCTATGTAAGAAGTAAGAAACTCCCGCAGTTTCGAGAATATAGTCATCTATGGGACTAAATAAGATCGCGCCGCGATTTTATAATGTAGCAGAGGCGTTAAGTAATATCGAAAACACAAACAGGTAGTTTGCATACAAAGTTGTCCACTATCGAATAGGTTTGTTACGAAAGTAAATTAACATAGCGTGAAGTGTAAGTACGAGATTTAAAGGTGCCTCAAGGACTTAGCCGCACGGAACGAAAATAAAAAAATGCTTTGTTTGTAAGGGGAGTGACCCTGAGAGTTATATCGATGCTAATTCATAAATGTATTACAGACAATATGCGATAATCGGAGATCATATGCATACATCACAACATGAATACTGCCTGCGTCTTAAGACTTACTGGTGGTAGGACCTCTTGTGAATCCGCGCGGGTAGGTACCACCGCCCTGCTTATTTCTGCCGTGAAGCAGTAAAGCGTTTCGGTTTGAAGGATGGGGCAGCCGTTGTAACTATACTTGAGACCTGAGAACTTATATCTCAAGGTGAGTGGTGCATTTACGTTGTAGATGTCTATGGGCTCCAGTAACCACTTAACACCAGGTGGGCTGTGAGCTCGTCCACCCATCTAAGCAATAAAAAAAGAGACTTGATGTGAAAATTTCACATGTAGTTTTTAAGGGCTATCACAGCCTTTAGATGGAATGCCATGACTGTTTTGCCGCAGAAAAAATATTGACTTGCACTATCTTATTTTTTCAGTCTTCTTTTTCAGTCTTTATCAGTGTCTTTTATGAATATTTATTATTTCATTTTTTTAATTGTTATCTAATAATATAATAGCAGTAGAATATTACCTAAAGAAAACATGTGTTATTTTTTTGTTCATCATGTAAATTTACCAACGATGTTGTTCATGTGTAACAGATTCCTACCTGATGTCTTAATCGCGACTGCGGTTAAGTCAACTGCTTTAATAGCCTCTGCGAAATATATTGAAGTGAACTACTTTAATAACGTGATTTGAAGACGGATGAAACCAAAGAGCGACACTAAAAAGGTATAAACATGCAGACTTATAGAATTTAGCCCGCGAAACAATCAAACGAGTACTTTATTTTAAGGGTTTTTGTGACCTGGTAAGTAAGACCTTTAGGTCAAGTCTTATTTTAATATATATTTATATTTTTTTATGAAAAATGATAATATAAAGTGAAATGAAATGAAGTTCATTAATATGAAACATGGCATGAAATGAAGTAAAATGAAATGAGATGAGATGATATGATATGAAATATAATCTCAGTAAAATGGTGGTCATTTACTGAGACTTTTTCAATGGACTTTTTGGAGGATCCCGAGAAGTTACGTTCAGCGGTTTTGTTTGATTTTCCCACATTTCAGTACTTTCACAGATACTAAACAGTTAATAAACCACTCTTATTACGCATTTAAACCTGAAGAAACACTAAATAGACAAAATAAAACGAATCACACAACTTCACTCCTCTCGTTCCCGCCAAAAAGTCCTCAGATGAGTACTTTTGAAGATTTCACTTCTACCGCCTATATTAAACACATGTTTTATTTATTTATCTTGTCTCATGGAGAACACTATATACGTGTAGTAAATAAGTAAGCAAGCATCGCTTTTCGGGTCATTTACGTTTCATCAAGTTTCAAATCACAACTTAACTTAAAAAGTTTTCAGTCCAAAAACGTAATGTAATACAAAAAATAACAAAATAAAGCGGGCAATCAACCACCTCGAGTGAACACGATACATTTTATTTTACACTAGCGACCCGCCCTCGCTTCGCTTCGGAAACATTAAAACACACATGAAACCAAAAATATAAAAAAAATAATTAAAAAAAGTAGCCTATGTTCATCAGGGACAATGTCGGCTTCTAATGGAAAAAGAATTTTTCAAATCGGTCCAGTAGTTTCGGAGCCTATTCGAAACAAACAAACAAACAAATCTTTCCTCTTTATCTTTCCTCTTTATAATAATATATAATATAATATAATAATAATATAATATAATATTAGTATAGATTACAGATTTACCTTATTAATAACGGACAACAAGATCTTCGGCGTTGTAATATAAGTTTGGTTGAAAAGATTATGATTGCGAACACGAAATATATAATCAGTTGAATTTATATATTATTATGTACAATTTATAGTTAAGACTAGAAGTTTCGTGCAACGTAATTATTACAATTATCTTAGTTAGTCAATTAACAATTATGTTAGTTGTCTTGATGATAATGATTACCGAAAAATACTTATATCTATATCTGTACTAATATTATAAAGAGGAAAGATTTGTTTGTTTGTTTGTATTGAATAGGCTCTGAAACTACTGAACCGATTTGAAAAATTCTTTCACTGTTTGGAAGCTACATTATTTCCGAGTGACATAGACTATATATTTTTTTAAATTAGGTATCCTTACTGAAACTCCAATAATGTAACCCAAGGTGTAAAAAATTACCTAAAATATTCTTTACATCGCGTGCCCTGCGAAAACTATTGATGATAGAATAAAATAATGTACTACGACTTTGTAGAGCACATTATTATTTACAAAAAGTGTCGCGACACCATATATCTAACTATTATAGTTATGCCGCAATAATTGTTCTTTTATTTAAAAAAATAAAACAATGTCAAATATCGTTGAAATTTGTGTTAAAGACCCGAGCGGAGCCGGAACGGGCCGCTTTTTTTAATATATTTCTCATATAATAATATCTAAACATAATTGATTGAAACGATAAACATTTCTATCGTTAAGAAAGCCTTTAAATAAAATGAAAATAAGTAACACGAGATTAAGTCGTAAAAGTAATTTTAATTATGTATAAGACTCACAAAAATGTGCATTAATGTACGTATTATGTATAGATATGCACATTTTTTGTACACTATGTACAAAATACCTGAATGTCTGTAGAAGGCCTATGTCCAGCAGTGGACGCCTTTTTTTATTGCTTAGATTGGTGGACGAGCTCACTGCCCACCTGGTTTAAGTGGTTACTGGAGCCCACATACATCTACTATGTAAATGCGCCACCCACCTTGAGATATAAGTTCTAAGGTCTCAAGTATAGTTACGACGTCTGCCTCACCCTTCAAACCGAAACGCATTACTGCTTCACGGCAGAAATAGGCACGGTGGTGGTACCTATCCGTGCGGACTCACAATAGGTCCTTCCACCAGTTTGTGGGATGAATAAAATGTGACTCAGGAAAATTGAAGAAAATACTTTAGTGCTCAGTCTTCGATTTTTAGGCTAATTTAGAAAATAAATACATGCGCGCTTTTTTAGGTACATTTCTTAGTGATGTTGTTTTATTAATGAACAAAACATATAATATTAT